CAGAGGGGACCCCTGCAAGTAAAGGTGTTTTTTCTTTTTTCCTTTTTCTTCGGAGGAGTGGTTCATTGTTTGAAACAGCGCGGCCCTACCCTTTCACCAAAGTCCTTCTAGAAGAAGGAACGGTACCCTTTCACCCAAAGCCCCTTTTTTTTTTTTTTTTTTTTTTTGACTAAACAAAGGCTCCTTCTATTGGTGGGGAGCTGCACCTGCTGGAAATCGGGTCCAGCGTCCCTGCACAGATTTATCAAGGTTATCAGTTCCTTATATCAGTTCCTTATAGAAGAACGGTAACGTACATACGAATTCAGAGGTTGCTGTGGAACTACGGTCAAACGCCCAAGTTGGTCATATCCTGCTGCTGCCGGCGGTGGGACCTCAGCCTCGGGGCAGCGACGCACGCACGTGGATTCTGAATTCGTGGCTGGCCATCGATGAAGACGAAGAACAACGGCTGAATGCGAAGAATCGGGTCATCAAGTGGGACCTCGTACCCGGGGCAAGGTCCCACTAGCAAGGATTAAGAGATTCTAGCCGTTGATCCCTGCTATCTACGGTCAATATCGCTTAATCCGTGTAAGTGGGACGTAGCCCCCGGTAACGTCTCTCTTCTCTCGTCGGTTTGTCGCACAGTACAACTGGCTAGCCGCCGAACCTGACCTCACCTCACCTTGGGGCAATGGGCCTCGCTCCAATGTACAAAACATGCAAAATGAGAATGAATCTTTGACTAGAACATAGAAAGATGCATGGCCATATGCTGTGTCTTTTCTGCATGTGGTGAGTAGTGGGGCGGCGAGGGCCAATGTGGAGGGCAGCACAACCCAACCCTAACGGATCGCGTGAGCAGCTGTGTCCAAGGTGTGAGCTCATCATTGCAGGCGTGTGACTCATACATCACCTCGGAGGGGAGCGGAAGTGGAAGCGGGTAGTTTGGCGCACAGCACGGGCAAAGGGGGGCGGAAGCGGATGGTCGGCGCACAGCACCCGCGAGGGGAGCGGAAGCGGGTAGGGTTAGTTGGCGCACAGCACCTGCGAGGGGAGCGGAAGCGAGTAGTTGGCGCACAGCACGTGCTAGGGGAGGGAAGCGGATAGTAGCGCACAGCACCCGCGAGGGGAGCGGAAGCGGATAGTTGCGCGCATACGGTACGTGCGAGGGGAGCGGAAGGGGATAGCGGCGCGCCCGCCGTTGGTGCGACGGTGGCGGGCCAGCTGTACGTGCAGTACCCCCCCCCCCTCCTTTGCTCTGGCGGCTTCTTCCTTTTCGGCTCTCACTTAATTACAGAGCAAGTGGCTTCTTGTAGTCCTAGACGTAAGTTGTCCTTCTCTTTCCCCACTCCTCCACCCTTCATCCCCATTACTCCCTACAACACCTCAACCCCTCCTCCTCCTCTCTCCTGTTTTCCTCCTGCTTGTCGCCCCTGCGTCTCGATTCTCGGTGGTTTCTATTCCGCTCCCTCTTAGTCCGCCTCCCCCTCCTCCTCCACCTTTCGCTCTTGGGCTTTCCTTCTCCTGTCTCCTCTTGCTATTGATGGTGTTCTATGGGATAGCAGCGGGTCAACGAGGAAGCGGAGGGACAGGAATCATAATGGCGGCCGCATTATGGGGAACAATGTCAATGCGTATTCTTCTCCCC